AGCATGATGAGGCCGTACCAGGTCGTTTCGTGTTCTCCTTCACTGTAGGTTGAGGAACGGATGACATGCATGTGCAGAAATCTAAGTCTACTTACTTTTGAGACTGATGCTTTATGCTCATATGAGTGCAGCTCTGCGGCTGACACATAATCAGAAGAATACTTCCCAACAAGGTTCAAGTTGTGGATACTACAAAACAACCAATGGTGACTGAATTACTGCTATGAAGAAATTATGTGATCTTGGTCTTCAATAACAACAACACCACAATGAAAGCCTATGAGTCAATGACGCAAATTACCGTATTATGACAAGCACTACGTTAATATGATGCATTCACATCTTACCTTTTTCCTTGAAAGTGATTGGCTTTGCATCCCCAATGTTAGCACCTGGAGCTTTTGATACTGATTTGTTTACTGGCTTCTGCTCAGCATAATATCTTTGCTGCATACCATGACTAAGATGTTTTATCAAGTTTGCCTTTCTTAATGTGGAACAGGCCAGGACTTGTATATGTAAATGTTTGCAGTAAGACACTGATTTAAGAACTCCAATGACCTTTGGTGAAGAGAGCAGACTCATCTTTGATATGTTCCTAGTGAACTGCTGGAAGATAGAATGATCATACATTGGTGGCTATGTGATAATCAGGTGAACACAATCTTTTGTAATGATTCTTCAAATCCCATCAGAGGCCTAAGTAACAGTGGAATCATCTAAGCATGGAACAGTAAAGTCTAAAATCTACAGGATTACATCTATAATCAAAAACAAACTAACCATTGCATAACACAAAGAGATCAAGTTATGCAGATCATTCAATACACAAAGCACACTTTTGGAATATGTCATCCATACTTATTTTCATCCCAATCTCATATTGCTATTGTAGCAAAGACATTAGGCTGAGACAGACCCCATTCCATCAACTTCAAACTTTGTGAGCCATCTCTCAAATCAGCAGTAGTTGAGGGTCCAAATTTTTCAAGATCCTTCAATCCAGTCATGCATTACAAATAAACAAATACATTTACTATCCTCCTGGTTAGATTTGGAGGGGCCTGTGCATGGTGACCTCTTGACAAAACTGGGTCACCCAAATGCCACACAGGTACTCAGTTGGTAGAGGAAAACAAAAGTATGCAGTATCTATTGGCACAGCTTGATACCAGTCACTGTCTAAATGCATATATTGCACTTATCTACTCAGTGCATTGAGTTATCTAGTCTTCATAAAATTATGTTGAAGCTCTATGACAGCAGAGTGGATGGCGTGCCCCCACCAAAAGAGTCAGTGGGTTTTCCCGAATCCCAGTTCAAGTCAGGGGTGTAGTTTTCTGTTCAGTTGGTTGGGTTCCAACCACTACAACCTGATTTCTCCAAACTTTGAGAAGAAGGTTGCCAATATCCATGGATGAACCCATGTGTTAATGTACTTTAGAGGTATTTAAACATTTCATGGATCAGCCTTCCAATTCATTTTGTGAAACTATGCCAATATCTCACATATTTGTGGTGCAGAGACCAGGGTCATGAACATACATAAAAATCCTTCTCACAAGCATGAAGTCAGAACAACACTGGCAGCAGCTTTCATTTTTCCAATACATCAGACCACCACTTGATCACTCATTTAACATATGGAATAATCATTCAGACTATCATCACCTGGTGTGTTAGGAAGCACATGTTTTGGCCACTTAACCCTTTGGTCATTGCTAGGTGTTTCATAAGAATGACTGGATAATCCTCAGCTATAAGTCATACATGCACCACAGTCCAAATTCTCTCCTTGTAGTTCTTGGGATTTAACTGGGGTCTTCCTGATGAGAAAACCAGAGCTCTACCAAATGAGCTAACTGAGAGACAATATTTGATGGTGTAATTTGATGTTATTCATCTCCTGGATATTTTGTGATTTCTTGAAGGAATGAGTATCATACTACACTGATGTAGGATGTCTATACTTGGCTTGCTGATGGCATTGTTAGCTGATATCATGTGTAATGCCTCCTTGATCTTTCCGTCAAATACTGCTCTCCGTTGATGATGGCCACTTAATCCCATGATACTCTGTGATCGCCGTCTCAGGTTGCAAAAAATGGATTCCAATCACACACTTCTCTTCAAACCTGGATAATACGCTAATTTAAGGATAGCGTTTCAGACCATCACGCTGCTTACATTTAATTCTGCTTAAGTGCTGTCACAAATCGGTAATACCGGCGCCCGCCCCCCAACCACCTGCCCTCCACCGCGCCAGTGCAGTTAATAAATATAACGCGCCCCTTCAGGTCTTAAATGTGGCGCATCAAGGATATGCGACTCGCGATAACCTGCCAGCTGATGATGAGGTCATTGCCATGCAAACTGGGTTTCTTCATCATTTACTGCACGATCTTAATGACGTTATAGAGGTACAAAGCACGAAAAATGAATACTTGAAAACTTATCGTTCCAGGGGAGTAGTTTTGCAAAATGATTTGGGGTGGTGGCGGGGAGTGGCTGAATTGCCACTCGCCTGCAACCAACGCTTAGGTGCGGGTCAAGCACATCGCCAGGCAGCACTCATCTTTACCATACCGTGGGCTCCATATTAACGGAAGTCGTTTGCGCATTCCCCGAACGATTCAGCGACAGCCATGCAGCTCCGGAGCAAATACGACGCCGGATCCACCGGTCAGCTTCAGCATGAGAGAGCGGCTGTCGTACAACCGACCGTTTACAATGGTCGAGCCAATTTCCTGGATCAGTTCACTGGGCAACGGGCAGAGGGTCCGAATCTAATCTACGTCATATTCCAGCTACTATCCACTTCAGTAGCTAGGGCCCCTTTGCCAGCCTACAACAGACTGCGGGCGACTGGGGGCTTTCCGGAATATTGGCGGCTGTCATACATTGTTCTTTTGCTCAAACCCAGAAAAAGTGGGCTGACCTTGCCGACTATCGCCCTTTCGTATTAACATCGTGCCTTTGTTAGTTGGAAGGCGTGGTAAATGTACGTTGACCGTGGTTTTTGTGACGCGCGGCTTTTCAGTTACATTTTTAGTTAAGATGCGCGACATGTTACGCGCGGTTTTTCACTTTTCGTTAGTCAAGATTTCCGACAAGATTCTTGCTTTCTCTCTCTTCCTCTCAGGCGGCATTTTTCATGCTGGTCACCATTATGTTACGTGTAGTTTTTCCATATATCGCTCTCGTTTCCTTCAACTTGATTTTTTTTTTTTGCTCTCTGCGTAAGTCGGGGTAAAGGTTCCTGCTTTTTCACAATATTGTTATGCCCACCCGAGGGATTTCTCACCGACACCAAACGGCAATCACGAGATTCACACAGCCCAGCTTGCATAAAAGCAACAAGCGCTGTGACGGACTCGATACTAAATGAAGTTCCTGTGTGTTTTTGAAGTTACGTACTCGCACATGATGTTGTGTGATGTATAATGTTATGAGCACCTTTCTAGAGATGGTGGCCTTACTCATATCAACCTCACGAAAGAAAAGCTTCTCTGGAAGTGTATGTCTACCGGCAATAATCGTGTATTTGCTTGGATTGATCATGCATGTCATTGTTGATGGTGGCTGTTGCTAGTTAG